AGACTCTGGGTGAGCGGGGGAGCCCAGGCGCGGAGCTTGTCGCGTACCATCCGGTACGGGCGTCCCCACGGATCTCTGTCCAGAGTCCCCAGCATCTCTCGGCGGGCCTCCTCCTTGGCCCGCAATATCTCCACCTTGAGGAGGGCCTTGGCCGCCCTGTATCCCTCGTACAACTCCGCCTCTCTCGCCTCCGCATTAGGAGGACGGATGCGGCGCCTGCGGTGCCTAGTGTACTGGCGTCGCGCAGCAGTGCACGCCTTGCGTAGAGCTGCTAGCTCTTGCGACCACCAGTACACCTGGCGCTTTTGTTGCCTCGACCGGATCCGGGGCATCGCCACGTCACAGATCCTGGACATGGCGTCCTGGAGCCACTTGGCCTCATCGTCTATGTCGGCAGGCCTGACCGGTGGTATCACCCAGGCCTGCACGATGGCGGCTTCCAGGAGCAGCTCCCGGTCCAGCTGTTTCAGCGCCCAACGCGGGCCACATGGGGCCTGTCTGACCGGCGGGTCTGCGGACTCGGCGGAGACGTCGAACCGGATATACCGGTGGTCGGAGTACGTCTCCACCTCCTCCATGACGCGCCAGCCAACAATACGCGGTGACAGAGCAGGGCTGGCGAACGATATGTCCACCACCGACTCGCCCTGCATCCGCACACACGTGGGGACAGAACCCCGGTTCAGGACGACTAGGCCTGTCTCAAGGGCCCAGTCTTCCACCATCCTACCCCGGACGTCGGTGAACCGGGAACCCCAAGCCAAGTTTTTGGCGTTGAAGTCCCCGAGGACGAGCACGGGGAGGGAACGGAACCCGACGACGACAGTGACCAACTCCCTCAAGGAGTTGTGGAACTCGGCGAGAGTTCGGTTCGGAGAGAAGTACACGCCCACCACAGCGAGCTCTCCGAACCGTGCTGCGACACAACCCCGGCCTCTTTGAGCAGCCTCAAGAGTCGGGGTACCGGCGGCGGCCGACGAGATGATGGTCACCGAGCCGTCCAGGTCCGCCACCCAGTGATCCCTGGGCAGGACAAAATACGGCTCGGAGACCACGGCGACATTGATCGACCACTGCGCCATGCTCTGGAGCAGGAGATCCTGAGCAGCGGCGCAGTGGTTGATGTTCGCCTGGAGGAGGCGGAATGGAGCCACTATTGACAGTCCATTCCGACCTCCTCAGTGGCGGCAGCGGCGACTGCGGTGGCAGTGGCGGCGGCGGCGGCGGAAACGGCAGGGGCGGCGGAGGGCCTACCTTTGCCCTTTTTAGCAGGAGGGGAGCAGCCCTTGCTCCCGACCCGGTGATTGGCCGGCTTGCCAGCCGCTGCACATGCGTTGCAGTGCAGCGGGGCGTTGCACGAGCCGGCCTTGTGACCGGGCCGACCGCAGCGGAAGCAACAGTCGCTGCGGTCCACCTCCGAGGTGCATTTAACACTCACGTGCTCCCCCACGTGACAGCGGTAGCACCTCAGAGGCCGGGTCTCGAGCAGCTTGACCTGCGCCGAGACCCATCCCACTAAGAGCCTTTTGCCCTCCTTTAATGTTTTGGCCGCTGTGACGGGGCAGCTCACCACCACCGTGCGCAGCCCCGAGTTGTCCGGACGTATGGTGCCCAACCTGACCTGGTCAGCAGGGCACCCTCCCGTCCTGGCCACAGCGGCCACCACCTCATCCTCTCCGTACTCCGGACGGAGTCGTCCAGGCCCAAAATCCTGACATCCAGGCATTTGGTGGGCCTGGACACGCGGGCCTCGTCCGCACCGAGGCACGCCCTAAGCCTCTCGGCCAGGGCGTCGGCCGATGGGCCGCTGGTCGCGCCGGGGACCTCCAAAAGACGGGCTCCGGTAGCGGTCACCTTGACCGCGAACCCGTCCGGGGCCCCGAACTCCGCAGGAGTCACCGCCCCCTTTAATTTGGCGAGGACGTCGCCATATGTGACGCCCCTATTGACCGCTTCCGGCTGTAGGGTGATGACCACAGCCGCGGTCTTAGGGGCGAGGAGCAGGGCAGCAGCGCGTTTCTCCCTGCGCTGCTGCTGCCGTCGTTGCCGCTGCGCCTTTTTTCGGCGCTTCCGGCCCTCCTTGGCGACTCTCCTCGCCTCGCCGGCGATTTGCCATCCGCCGCCATCCTCTGCTTGCGGGGCGGGTTCCGCCGCCGCCGCCGCAACCCCAGCCTGCCGGGCCGGAGTGCCCCTCCTCTTTTTGCGCCCAGCGGGCGCAGGCGCAGGCGCCGTCGGCGCAGCCGGGGTCTGCGCCGGCGGGGGCGCCGAGGCCTTCGCCGGGGCAGCCGGTCGCGCCTTTGCCGGCAGCTGGGAGCTGCGGCTAGCCTGACCCGAGGTCGAAGGCTTGGCCGCAGCGGCCGCGTACGACCGCGGGACCGCGGGGGCGACCTGACTCGTCGCGAGCGGGGGCCGCAAGAGCCTACCCTCCAGCACGTCGAAACGTCGCTGGAAGGCAGCCATCTCCGCCCGCAGCAGTCCGACTACGTCGGCCTCCGCCGGGGGCTGGGGGCGACTGCCGCGAGCAGCGGCGAGCTCGGCCCTGGCCGTCCGCAGCTCGGCCTCCAGAGCCGCGTTAGAGGCCGCCCGCAAAGCGCGCCAGCTCTCGCCGCATCTCGGCCAGCTCAGAGCGCACGTTTCCCGCAGTGGGCACCGCGCGTTGCTCCAAGGCCGCCTCCGTAATGGTGGCCGCCGCCGCCTTGAGGAGGCGGAGCCTAACCGGCTGGGATTTCCCCAACGCCAGCTTGTAGAGCTCCGCCGTAATGGCCTGTTCGAGGCCCCCGGAGCAGCTCTCGCTCTCAGAGCCGCGCTCGCCCTCCGACATCTCCACGCCGGACATCTCGGCCGCAGAGGACTCCGAACGGGCAGTGCTCGAAAGAGCCCTGCCCTCCGCAGCCAGTTGCTCGGCTGACTCCGCGCAGGCAGCTGGTGCCGGTTTCCGGCGAACGCTGCCCTTGCCGCCCCTACCCCGCGCTGCCGTGGGGACCTTGGGGGGAGGCGCCTCCCGAGCGCCGGAGGACGGGGACAAACTGTCCTCCTCCAGCCGGGGGCGTTTGAACGTCCCCCGTCGCGCGGCGGCGTGAGCCTTTCGAGCTCACGCTCAGCCGCTCCGCTAATGTTGTGTCGGACTCAGAGTCCGACCCCCTCCGATTGGACTCCCGTGTGTGGGGCCTGCTGGACGAGTCCAGCGCCTCACCACGAGTCCCGGAGCCACTTGGGCTCCCTTCTCCTGCTACTGCAGGCGAGCCAAGCTCACCGCACTCTCCTCCTCCGGTTGTGTGGTTTTTTTTATTTTGTTCAACTCCATAAAGTTCCCACGAGTATGGGGGAAATATTCGGTCCACCCAGGCAGTGCCCCCTGTACCTGGGTAAGTGTTCATTTGTTTCCCAACTAGAGGTTCCACTGGTCCCCTAGCTGGGGGTGCGCTCGCGACTGACACTACTCCTCAGCCATGCATACTCTCGCCGCGCACCAGAACTTAGTATTGGAGGAATTTTTTATAGAGGTTATCTTCCTCGCGGTCCGGGCGACCAAGCCAAGACCCTCGTCCCGTTCAGAGTCACAAAACATGACCGTGACCTCCTTACGGATTACGATATCGACGGCTGCAATCGGGGACAGCTTGTGTCCCGATGCTGCTCGCTGGCAGGGTGAGTGCACAACGAGCACCGCCATTGCCTCTCCGCCACGCTCTCTGCTATGTCCAGAGAGACGGGCGGAGAAGCGCCCCTCGGAAGCGCGGGCTATGAGCCTCCGCACACAGCCCGCCGCCTCCAGAACCCTATTGGGTTCGCCCGCCCAGTCCAGAAGTCTGCTGCGGGCGACAGTCACTCCAACCCTATCACCCCCGCTAGGGAGACTGTCGCCCGCACCCAGGGTGCACCACGGGGAGGTCTTCTGGCACCGCACCCCAGGGAGGTAGCTTAGAGCCAGGAGACCGACATAGGATACTTTTTAACCAACTTTTATTTTTTTACTTTTTACCGAAAATCACGAACGGGGACGGGAAAAAATGGGATTACGCGTACGAAGTCGCGGGCAGAAGCTAGTCTATATATATAAAAGAAAGTCGTGTTAGTTACACCACTTATAACTCAAGAACGGCAGAATAGATTTGGCTGAAAATTGGTAGGGAGCCGGAGGTAGCTTAGAACCAGGAGACGGACATAGGATACTTTTTAACCAACAATATTTTTTTTACTTTTTACCGAAAATCACGAACGGGGACGGGAAAAAATGGGATTATGCGTACGAAGTCGCGGGCAGACGCTAGTTAAGAATACAATAACAAGAACAAATAATGTCCGTCAAATGGCCGGTTGGTCCTTTAGTAAAGTTCAACTGGTCCGTTCCGATGTCCTTAAAAAGTCTTTGGAAATATTCATTATTATAATAATGCCCTTTGACATTAAGTAACGTTTATATTTATTTATTAAAGTCATGACTTACTGTCTGAACATTAATTTTATTTAAAAATAATTCCACAATTGTCCTTATTGTTGCCGAATGTCATTTTAACAAATTATTTGATATAACCGTGAACTAGGCTTAAGCAAAAAAGCGGGTGACTAAATGAACATACGTTTATAGGAAAATCACATAAATTATGAACCGTACTCAAATAGTGGTTACAAAAACAATAGGTACAAGCTGTTCCTTAAATTTGATGTCAAATTGTAGCGTCAGTGCAAAACAAGAGGTTAATTTTCATTAATCGAATGACAAATTGTCAATACGAGCACAAGTTCTGAAATACAGAAATAGCATAGCTTAGCAGAATACAAAAAGGGTGATAATGATTTCGGAAGCGGGTGGGCTGGACACCTACTTTAAAAATCATTTGTATCATTTGAAAATATTAACATAGATGTCCGGTACATAGGTATCTTTTATTTATTCTTTAGTTTAAAAGAACAGCACCTAATATTGACATCTACCTGTCAAACTATACCAATTTTAATTATTGTTCATCAATTCTAAATGTCCATCTCCCTCTTTACAGAAACAGCCCCCACGATGAGAAGACATTGAGGCTATCAACGGAGGAACCACTCCAGCTGGGGCCACCTCCTCGGTCCTGCTACCCTCTGGTGGTGATCTTGGCGAGAGATCTCCGAGACACAGGGGAACTCAGGCCTGATGATACGGTAAGGGTGATTTAAATCTCCTCCGTGTATTGCAAAATAAATTTTACCCCTTTTTCGAAGAACAGAGGTGATTAAGTTTTGTACTCACGCGAAGGGGCTTTATCGGTATTTGCCAAGATGAAAACAAAAGTATATTAACAAATTAAATATTAATTAACGTAGCTTTAAAGAAGCTTAACTCGTTTCAAGAATCACCCTGGTGTTTGTTGAAACGCTGTGTGTTTATGAGCCCTGGCACGACGGCCTAAACACGAGATAATTGCGTCAACGACGCGAAATCCCGCAGCAAACTCTTCAAAGTATCCTCCTCTTGATATTTCCAAGTGAAACAAAATTTAATATTATATTTAGTATGTCGTATGCGTTACAGGTGGCGTTAATTAGCGTGGTGCACATCAGAGACGATCAGTGTCCGCTGCCGAGCGGTGTGATCGCGCAGTACTTGAAGCAGGCGAACGGACATCTGTCCTGTTTGAAGGTAAGATTGAAAAGAGAGACGGTTGATGAAATAAAATGATGTGGGGTCAGACAGACTGGGACCTCACGCCCTACATTGTACACAATGATATTCTAGGATATTTTTGGTAGATCGGAGGCAAATGAAATATTTTTATATTTTTTTACATTTTTCATGTAAGACCGAAAATGACATGTCTATGTTTAAATTATTATTGTTATAAAAGTTCGAGTTTGATGAACTTGCACTTGCACTTAAAACATTCGATCAGAATAAAATGACTGAAATGTACGTGATGTGGTATATAACAAGGTCTATTTATAAGAAATTGGCACTAATTGTGTACTTGCCAACTAGTCAAATTCAATACTTTTTTCGAACTGTCAAAGACGACAGTTTTCTATGAATTTTGTACGAGATTGTGTATTGTGACGTCACGTCTTTTTAGCGTTAAACAGCATAGTCATTTCTTAAAAAATTGCTGATAAAATATCATAAAATCAATCGATGAAAGTGTGGTTATTTTTTTGTATTGAACAGTCGAAATAATTTATTTTTGATTAAGGAATATAATATGTGTTCCCCAGCAATTGTACGTGAGCGGCGAGTGCGGGCCGGCGGAGGCGTGCGGGCCGTGCGGGCCGGAGTACGGCGCGGCGCCGAGCGCGGCCGACGCGCTGTGCTGCGTGTGCGCCGCGCACCCGCTGTCGCGCGCGCTGCTGCCCTGCAGGCACGCCTGTCTCTGCGCGCACTGCCTGCGTCAGTACTACATACATCCTGTCTTCTTACTGCTTCGGTTTCTTTATAGTCTTATATTCAGCCATTAGACGTCCTTTGCGGAATAAGCCCTCCCCTAATGACTAATGAGTTGTTTCATAGATCATAAATATTGTAACATAACGCCTTTTATCCCCAAAGGTGTAGGCAGAGGTGTACATTGTGCCACTGTACAATGTAACACCCACACTTCACTATTTATGTTATGAATCCCATGTAATAGGGGGTGAGCCTATTGCCGTATACCGGGCACACTTCCAGACTCCGTGCTACTACTGAGAATTTCTTTAAAAAAACCCAGTATTTCTTTGCCCAATCAGGGAATCAAACCTGAGACCCCTTGCCCGGCAGTCGCACTTGCGACCACGACCCCAACAATGGTCATAACTAATATGTTTAATAAGTAACCGCGGAGGACCTAACAGTTTACCGGGGCTCCGGCTCGACGTGCAGGAGAAGGAACGGGGTGGTTTTTAGTCAGTAAGAGTCTGACACTCCCTCCCGCCTCACCCAGGCGGGAGCAGTCATTCGATGATTTTCCCCGATTAAAAAAAAATAGGTTTAATAAGTAAAAAAACAATTTTTACAAATATTATAAGAAATGCTCTACTAAGATAATGTCTGTGTACTCCTCAAATGTCCAAACGATTGTGAATATAAAGCGTTATGCTGAAAAACCTTCATTTGTACCCATGATCTAAAAACATCCCCTTTAAATTAGTGTAAGTTACATTATTATTATATGGCATTAAGTTCGCCTTATGTGCCCTTGTGTAATCAAATTCTGTACATTAAAGACTAAATAATGAAAATAAATAAATAAATTCCAGCGAAACTGGACAAGTGTCCGATATGCCGCAGCGTGATCACCAGCTACTTCTGCATCCGCAACGACGACGAGCGCGACCTCACCGAGCTCAAACAGCAACGGTTCTTCAACAGACGGCTCTTCAACCTGTTCCACTATCATTAGCCAGGTAACTTATATTTAATATACTGCCTAGCTTCACTGACGGATAGACTGACAGGCTATTATTTATTTTATATTTGTTGACGTTTCAAAAGTACTAAATTATGGTTTAATTAAATGCTTTTGAGTTGAGTTACTGTTTGTTCTCCTTCACTACATAGTATAAAACAAAGTCGCTAACCGCCGTCTGTCTGTCCCTATGTATGCTTATATCTTTAAAACTACGCAACGGCTTTTGATGCAGTTTTTGATATAAAGAGTGAGTTTTTTTAATATTGCACCCGCGCCGGGGCGGGTCACTAATGTTAAAATAAAAACTTATTTATTTTTATGAGCCCATACTGGGGTATTGGATACGCCTGCAATCCTGCATGCTATTAAGTTGTGTTACACGTTCTCCACGTTTAACAAAACTTAAAATCGAAATAGTCCTTATTACGTGACACATAAGACACGTTTTCGAACCTTTTCAATCCAATACTATGAAAGACGATGCTGAAGAAGTTTAGTTAATTTTCTTTTTTCTATTTCCAGGTGACGTAAAGCAGTGACTGAAGATTAGACGTGGAAGGCCCGTAATGACATGTTACGACTTGCCACGCATACCAACCGTGTGATAATATAAAATATAAATTAAAAACAATCCTCGACTGATAACAGGAATATAAGTTAAAACTACGTAAAAATAAAAACTAATATTTTTAACAATGAACCTTAAAAGACAATTTTAGAAATAAATGTGAAATTTTATGTGATTATAATACGTGGATAAGTGAATTAATGGAGTGCTGTGCGTGAATGATAAACATTGGCTGTTACTCTCATCCTGAACAGAGATAAGTATTGCATCGTTTTATAGACTCCGGTGTAAATTTCTCGGCGATGTTAGTACTCTGGACTCTAATAAATCTATTACAATTCTGTTTGACTGGTCAATTTCTTTATTGTTTGTAAATTATATCGTGACATACAATAGAAGAATTTGATTTGTGTTAAATTATTAATATTGAAACAATAATAACTTCATATAATTTTGTATGGCTGTACGGCTTTCTCATGTACCAAATTTCGTTTTTCGTCGTTTTCACTAAGAACGCTGCGTGAATGATATGATAATCACCGCTTCGAAAACCGTAATGTTTGCTGTCAAAACCTAATACTATACTAATTGTACTGAGCACTATACTCTATGCTCGCCGATTATAGGCCCCCGGCGTGTCTTGAAACCAATCGAGTCACTTCGTTAAACAGTTGCGTGAGTAAGTCGTACAAGATAATTAATTTATTATGTCTCACGATAGTTTAAACACGACATTAAGTTAGTTGACAAAATATCACAAAATAATATTGTTTATTCATTATCTATGCAAGTCAATTGAAAAATTCATTCATATGATCTTCATCTATACAATATTATTTAATTTAAATATAACTCAAAGTTAAATGTTTAATTCATTATTTATGTATTCTGTTATGTGCAATATATTATGTAATTTACCCGGCATGAGGCTTTTTTTCGTACTTTAAACTGCCATTGTTTAAATACAATATTAATGTAACATATAAATATTGATACAAGTAACAATGTTAATGTCAAACTTAAAAATATATTTGATTTTGCTTTCATTTATTATAATTTATAAATCTATGAGCAATTTAATAAATGTGTTAAATAAACCTGTGATTATAGAAAAGGAAAATTAAAATATATTTTTGTTTTATAAGATAAATACATGCCTTATAAACCGGCTCCTTGACTATAAACATTTAAGAGCTGTTGTAGGTTGTCAGCCATGATGTGATTCAAGACACAATTATCTAATTTATACAAATTGAACAGTTTCTGAATTAATTCAATACATATTTTTACTTCTATAAATTACATAGCAACACGTCTTGGTGCTTACTCTTGAAATCAATCTCAATATTAATGCAATTTCAATCCAATAAAATCTCAATAATTATTCAATGTCAAAACTGTACAACCCCTTTCGTAGCTGTTGAAATAGCATTCAGAATACGGAATATAAAACTAAACTTAATACCATTCATCATATATCCACGCAATACAGATGCAATGGGCGCTAGTGTTGCAACTCAAGAGTACGATATTTCACAATACCAATGTCGATCGATCGGAATTGGTTTAAAGAGTAAGCCCTCAGAACAGTAGAAAATACAACCAAACACGAGTAACAAACTTTGATCCCCGATTTGGGAAGATGTCAAAATTCTAAGCAGCAATACCTGCATGACATATATAAATAATTAAAGTTAAAATATCAGTCGTTTCGTCAAAATTATTATAGTTTTATGCTCATGGCTAATAAATAAAACATGTATGTCTGTCTGTATGTATGTGTGGGTGGAAATTTTGGAAAACTGTGATAATATAAGCTTTGTAAATTTGCTGTAATATGTAAATATCAAAATATGATAGTGATTAATGTAAACTTTTCAATGTCGATGATATGCGCCCTTTGAACGTCGACTCCTAGACTAAACTGTAAGATAAATGAAAAACATAGTAAAATTATATTATAAAAAGCACATTAACACATTTATAATATAAATTATAGAATTATTCAGCTTTTGAAGCTTGACTATGTATTTAAATTGATTTTAGGTAAATTATAACTAAATATTAGTAGACACGAATGTTTCAATTATTATTACTATATTGTCGATGTTCATAGGGTACAAATTGATGTTATTACTTGTGGAGACTGCTGCTCATTTCAAAGTATCGTTTTTTACCACCTTACGATATACAATTTAGAGTTCAATTTTGAATAACCAATTTTATTTATAATATAATAGAATTAGCTGTGAAATTAGTAAGGATCCTATATCACACGGAACAAATTGTGTGACTCACACTTAGGTACCTACTATGGAGAATATTTTTTTTATGAAACCGATACTGATCCTCCATAAATTGATATTCACTCGTAAATGTCTGATTATGAAAAATCCACATTTATTCATACAAAAGTAGTCTCTAAACATTGGAAATAAGGTCTATAATGAAGTTAATGGAGAGCGGTCACCTATGACCGCTTGGGGATTGACCAGTTAAGTACCATATTCACACTACCAAAGTAGCAGTCTCCGAATCTTATCTAGTTTTCCTCAGTAAGGACTATTTATGCAGTCAACTAAACATAGTCATATACTAGAAACATTGTAATTATAATTATGTATCTGGAACTTGAGTTTTAACCGAAACTGGTACTTATATCGATAATGTTATAGTTTCTTTTAAATTGTATGTGAAATATTGAAGCAGTTTTTTTTAAATATGGAACAAGTATATTTTTTAATTTGTAGTTTTTTTTTGTTTTGGTTGAAATTCAAGTTCTATTCAGATATTATAAATATGTGGATAAAGTAAATGATGGGGAGTATTCATAGAAATAATGAAATAAAATATTTTTCTATGATACCGTGTGTAGATGTTATGTTTTAGTCCTATTTAGTCTTCCAGATACCCTAATGTAGATCTCACTTGAGTTACAATAAATATAATTTACATGGAACGCTTTGTTTTTCTTTTCGTGTATTTTTATAATTTTAATCTGGCAATATTTGGGATTCCGATTTTTTGTGAAATTGCATCTAGTATTTATTTTAAATGCTTGTCTGTCGGAACGCAGACCTACGCGAGACACAATAGGATAGTTACCTAAATTTTATTTTAATGTCCATCTGTACATTAATTTAAAACTTTTAGACACGCATTTTATCTTTTCTCACAAAGTTAAATACTTTCGACGATATATTAATTTGAAATATCGTGTGACGTCACACGTTATGACGTAAAAACCTCCCACTCCTAAACTTAACTCCGTTTTATCTAAGTATTGTTTTGTAAAACGACAAAATAAAAAAAAAATGTGTACGTGTAAAATTGTAATGACAAAATAAACGGTATTGTGTCTCATATATCGACAGACGAGAGGTTAATAAATAGAATGCCTATATCTAAAATCAACCAGCTCACAAAAGTCTAAATCTACTGTCAACATAACATCAGACTATGATAAGAATCAAAATATGATAAGAATGCGCTTAACTATTTCAAAGATCTAGCAAAACCAAAAACGTTACCCCAGCAAAATCTAGAATAACTTCGCAACCGATGAAAGGACAAATACAAAATAAGGCACAACATTTACTTCATCTAGAAGACAACTAATTTTATAGCTAGTAATTATTTAAATATTCCCATTAGAAAGAAAAATGTCTGGCTGGAGTAACGTTACCCCAGCAGGAAATGTTTTTGTGAAATAATTAAAAAACTATAAGCGCAACAAATTTAAAAATGTGCGCAACAATTACAGAAGCCGCACAACTTATCTTATACTATTATATAAAGCGTAAGAGTTTGTTTTTTTGTTTGTTGGTTTGAACGCGCTAATCTCCGAAACTACAAGTCTGATTTGAATAATTGTTTTTGTGTTGGATAGCGCATTTATCGAGGACGGCTGTATGGATAGGTTATAAAACATCACTCTACGACTAATAGGAGCTGAGCAGAGCGTGTGAAACCGCGCAGAAGTAGCTAGTTATCTCTAAGATTCAAATGACCATTTTCGACAACATCTGTGTGCTTACTATTGAAACCAATCTCAATGTCAATGCAATTTCAATTCAAGAAAATCTCAATAATTATTCAATGTCAAAAGTATGCAACCACAATCGTAGCTGTTACAATAGCATTCAGAGTACGGAATATAAAGACAAACTCAATACCATTTAGTTCATTCAATATCCACGCAATGCGGACGCAATGGGCGCTAATGTTGCAACTCGAGAGTAAGAAATTTCACAATACCAATGTCGATCGATCGGAATTGGATTCAAGAGTAAGCCCCCTGGCCTGAGTAACGGACACCTCAAAATTCGAGATTAATTTTAAAGTCCACGCTGGCAAAGCCGCGAGCGGAAAATTAATAAGTAGAAAGATAAATGAAACACCAAACTACAAAACAACCATATTTATTCTTAACCACCTTAAGCGTTACTATCGCTTCTCTCCTTCTGTCTTTCAGCATATAATTGCGACGTTTTAACCGCAGAGTATAAACTAAACAGTAGGTGTAGGGCTTGGATCCTATCGTTCAGAGTGTCACCGGCTATGGGTACGTCAAACAGTCCGCATACAAGGTCCACGTATTGGGATAGACTGCAGTCCAAATTGCCTGGCGGGAAACCGACCTCATTCAACGTCTCCTCCATAGATTCCGGCCATTCTTCCATTAACGTGTCTATGTCGGGCATTTTGCTGAAACAGAATCGAGATAAAACGATAAATCTTTGAACCAACATTATACAGATAATCTGAGTCCCTATTTATCACTGATAAAACCTTGTTCTAGCTACAGAAAGTTAGGAGAGGTATGTACGTTTCAATTTAAGGGAAAAGTTCGTAGATTCGAGTAGGTAAATTTCCTAAGTACAATGCTATTAAAAATGATCTTTATCTTTTTTTTATGAAATGGAAGGCAAACGAGCATACAGATCACCTGATGGTAAGCGATCAGCGCCGCCCATGGACACCCGCAACACCAGAGGAGTCACAGGTGCGTTGCCGGCCTTTTAAAAAGGAATACGCTCTTTTCTTGAAGGTTTGAAGGTCGTATCGGTTCGGAAATACCGCCGACGACTGATCATTCAACAACTACTTCTTAATATCACGAAATAGAGGTGAAGTCCCATTTTATACAGATTTTGAACTCTCTGTCTTAATATTATTTTAATAAGATTGTATTTACCTTGTATAAGCGACAGTAGGCGCGGGCTTAGACAGATGTAGTTCACTCACATCCTTGATCCAACGTTCAATGGCTTTGGAATTCTTCTCTGCGTTTTCTATCTTCTTTGTTACCTGGAAGTTAATGAAAATAGCCTTTATTACTTTGTATTAAAGTGCTCTTGGCATTTTCTCGCTTGAATTCGCTCGAAGCTCTCTTAAGCCCGCCTCCAAAACACCTTTCCACCGATCGTCGTCTGGTAGGTCGATATAAGTGTGTGAGAGCCATGCTTCGGCACGAATGGGCCGGCTCGACCGGAGTGCTACCACGGCCTCACAGAAAACCGACGTGAAGCAACGCTTGCGTTGTGTTTCGTCGTGTGAGTGAGGTTACCGGAGGCCCAATTACCCTCCCTTTCCTCAGTCTCCCCAATCCCTGAATCCCCAACGATCCTCAAACTGCTAATCCCCAAAAAGCCGGTGACGCACTGGTAACGCCTCTGGTGTTCCAGGTGTCCATGGGCGACGCCGATTGCTTACCATCAGGTGATCCGTCTGCTCGTTTACCGGCTTATGCCATAAAAAAAGACCAAGATATGCTTTCTTTACATTTTGTATCGCTTTATTAGTGTTTAGGTATATTAAACTAGCTTATGCCCGCGACTTCGTACGTGTAATCCCGTTTTCTCCCATTCCCGTATGATTTTCAGGATTTTTTCTATCTTAAGAACCTTCTCCTAATAATAACAAATACAACCAACCATTCACGCGTGATGTCGTGACCAAGGGAAAAAGGGATTCTTTTTTATATAGATAGATAGGTTCCACTCACCACAGTAGACTTCGCACTGCTGGTCTTGGAGATGGCTCTGAGCTGGAGGTGTAGTAACGCCGCATCACTTTGCTCAGCGGCCGGCTCGTCCAGCACCGTCAGCCCTGGAATATGAACATAGCATTTACATTTAAACTGTCAAACACCGCGAGGACACCGGTGTCCGCAACCTATTGTTCTTTAATTGTGTCTATAATGACGGTACTTAAAGGGTTAAGCTGAGTAGTACATTTATTTGTCAGTACCTTCACTCCTCTCGCGAGCATCGCAAGACTTAACTAGTGAACTATACATTTGACAGATCTGGTAGCAGCGCTCTCTTCTGACAAATCTGACCATTTTAAACTATCATTTTCAACTTACCTGCTAGGCATGAGGATTATGTTCGCCATAACCCCCCCCCCTCCCCCGCCGTCTCCTTCTTATATGTATAGAGAAGGCCCTCTTGCGATGTGACATCCATAGGCCTTGATAGGACCATTAAATAAGAGTCATAACAATGGATGAAATATGGCTCACCCAACACTTCCTTTAAGCTTTGCAACAACCGGGCTTTAGACTGTTACTTTAACATTACGTGTGAATAGAGAGATGGTTTGCTTTGTATACTGACCTAAATTATCAATGTGTTCCAACACGTGGTCGGCGAGGGATGCCGCGCGCACGTTGCAGGCAGGGGTGGTGACTTTGATGAACGCGTCTATGTCGCCGACAGCAGGCACATACTCCGGTACAAACGGCTGCAGTTTGAGGTCTATGTCTATCTTCTGAGGTGTGTATCTGAAGGAAGATAAAATGTATTATTAAAATTTGTTCAATAAAACTCGTTCTTTTTAATATAAATAGTTGCCCCATATTAGGATTTTCTCCTGTGTCGTGGGTGCGTTTACAAACATACAAGTTCACATACATATAACAGCCAGATCCCGAACAATCTATGGATCACACAGATTTGTTCAGTATGGAAATCGAACCGCGACACGTTGCGCGGCAGCCACTGCCCAGCCACCGCGCCAACCGTGCAGTGCAAAAGATTATTTTCGCTTTAATATATTCGAAATAGTTTTTGAATTTTTTATATCAAACAAACATCCATAGAGAAAAGTAAAATATCGGTGAGTTTTATTTTAATGACGTGTTATATAGACAAGCTTTTACTAAATGTTGAATAGTTGAATAATAAGCAGAAATGTGGTCGCTACATAGATACAACAGTTATCAAGCCACCCCAAACAGTTAAACATCAACTTTATTGCAAAATAATAAGGTTGACTATATACTATATACTGTAGCTTCATTTGAGGCGTCTGAACCCACTTTTCAGAGTTCATGAACCCCATGTAGGCGGGCTATAGCGAATTAGCTGGGATTGAACGATTAAGTGATTGACAGACGGACATAGTATATTAAAACTAAGTACTTAGGTACTATTCGTAGAAAACTGTTTACACATAACTGTATAAACATATTTATTGCTTAGGATTTCTTCAAATTCATACATAAAAAAATCAGAGATTTATTCATGTAAACACAATCCAAAATATCTAAATTTTATAAAGTCTCAGAAATGCACAATTATACTAAAGAAATTCTACTAATCTTATATCTTATACTATTATATAAAGCGGAAGAGTTTGTTTTTTTGTTTGTTTGTTTGAACGCGCTAATCTCCGTAACTACAAGTCTGATTTGAATAAATCTTTTTGTGTTGGATAGCGCATTTATCGAGGATGGCTATAGGCTATAAAACATCACGCTACGACCAATAGGAACGGAGCAGAGCGTGTGAAACCGCCCGGAAATAGCTCGTATGATTATACAGAAAGATTGTATGTTTCTTTGATACTCCTTCACGCCAAAACGCCTGAAGAGATCAGGGTGTTTATTGGAACAGGGGTAAGTAGATTACGATCTGGAATAACGGCTACTTTTAATCCCACAGAAACGCGAGCGAACTACTTTCAGAAGCCGACAAAAAATCATCATCAACAGCCTATAAGTGCCCAGAGGAAAGCCTCTTCTCACACGGAGAAGGTTTGAGCATTAATCACCACGCTTGCTCATCGGAGGTTGGCGATCTCAAACTTATAAGTAACTAACTACTTCCGCGCGGATTCACACGCTCTGCTCAGCTCCTATTGGTTGTAGCGTGATGTTTTATAGCCTTTAGCCATCCTCGATAAATACGCTATCCAACACAAAAAGAATTTTTCAAATCAGACTTGTAGTTACGGAGATTAGCGCGTTTAAACAAACAAACAAAAAGACAAACTTCCGATTTATATAATAGTATAAGATTAGAAATGATAAGTCCAGGGTTCCTCACGATCTTTACCTTCACCGTTTGTCAGTGGTGTGTAAATAATCTTAGAAAGTACATATAACTCGGAAAGAGTCACATTGGTACTTGCCGTTGGTAGGTTTCGCACTCGCATACATGAGAAGCGGGGGTCTTAACCTTTGGGCTACACACGACATGAACGGCGACGGTGAAAAATAATTGACTGCAATTTGAAAGCTCACCTCTCAACCAACGATGAGCGGTACAGCTGCACAATGGCTAGATGTTATCATTAAGAATTAATCATTCAGTTCGGCCTGTGAACATCATATTATTGTACATAGATCAAGTACATGTGGATACATACGTAGATATGTGGTTTTCTCAAAGAGCTGTGTTATAATTTCTCGAACACAGATATTCGCAAGCTGATCTGAATATTTACTTCTTTATATCTTTATTACTTGATTGATGATAGTGGAGTAACGTGTGTAATTACTTTTAAAATTATGCGATAGTCGTTTAGTAGGTACCTGACTGATAAGTTTGATTCTATTATGTATTTTCTAAACTGTTATTAGATCGACTGCTTCGTTGGCCGAGTGGTCGCAAGTGCGACTGCCGGGCAAGGGGTCTCGGGTTCGATTCCGGGTCGGGCAAAGTATTAATGGGTTTTAAAAAAATAAATTTCAGTAGTAGCACGGAGTCTGGAATTGTGCCCGATATATGGCAATAGGCTCACCCCCTATTACATGGGACTCATAACATAAATTGTGAAAAGTGGGTGTCATATTGTACATACAGTGGCATTAAGTGCCGTAATGTGCATCTCTGCCTACCCCTTCGGGGATAAAAGGCGTGATGTTATATTATTAGATCGACTAGAGCCTTAGACAGAAGCAACAAAAAACCTTTGAAACGACATTGATGTCAAAAATTACAAACGAGATCACCTAATTAGTAAAATTGTAATCGATATGTTGTAACGTCTCGAGTTCAACTTCCGAGTAACTCGATACTTAGTTGTAATAGTTAATTTTGTATGATATTCAATATGTGTGTTGGAAAATAGTCCATTAATGTAAGACCTTATGTTGGATCCAAAACTTAATCAAAAGCAACTAAAAATCGGGTTACTTAGGTACGTGAAAATACTGAAAAAACTTCTACTAGTTTATATGTAGTCACAGAAATATTAAAAAATTCTTTATAATATCTGTGTATGTAGTACTTGATATGTAGGCTGCGCGACATCGCCGCGACCGCTCACGCTACTCATGAGGAAGAGCCCCTCTTTTGTTCGAAACTAGAGCTTTTCTCAGTATATTCATGAGTAACCCGCAAAGTCCAAAGCAATCTTTTCTTTGGTTCGAATAATGAATGTAGCTTCTGTAGGTATAGGTACGCACCTACTCAATATAGATTGAATCTGTAAATCTGAAATAGACAGATAAATAAAATATCTGTTTGTAATTTTAAAATAACCGCTTTTTACTACATGCATATGAATATACATACAATACATATACCAAAATAAAACTCTTTTTCAATTTTTATTTGTCTGTCTGTCTGTTTATACTGGCTAATCTCTGGAATGGCTGGACCGATTCTGACGGGACTTTTATTAGTTTTATTGGCAGGTTGCTGATATAGGTACTAAGAAGTAGATAACATAGAGCCCCTCTCGCTTCACCCGGGCGTGAGAAGACATTTAATGCCATACCCCCCTCAAAAAAATAAAAAATAAAATGCAACTTTTATTTCAGAAAAAACGTAGACGATCGTTGTGGGTACAGCTACTTATGAATATTATTACAACATGTTTCATTATACGCAGTAGTAAGTAGGTATCGTATTTTTGCCATTATCATTAGTGTTACGTACTTTCATATCAAACAGGGCTTCATCATTTCATAACACGCTGTATTAAGCGCACAAAATTAGACTCAACGGCCTCATTGATACCACGAGATCTTCGCCACTTATCGTAACAACCAATAATAAACTGTACTACATAGAAATTAGAGCACAAATTACTCTTTAGCAAATATCTAGGTTCAAACTACGTGCAAGGTTAGGCTGTGGGTAGCCTGCCCACTGAATCTATGAAACAAAATCACTATGACCTGATTTGTGCACGGGATTCAAGGCCTTATCATTACAGTAATAGATACGAGATTTAATAAGCAGGATACATACAATTTGTTACTGTCATGGTGTTCAGTAAATATCACTTTGTTGTAGTTTTGATTAAATAATAGCGTGACGCCATTTTTTATTGACGCATTTAAAAAGCATTATAGTAAATTAAAATTGATTTCAATGAAACGTAATGAATTAATAGAGTAATTATTATTATATTGACCCTGACTTCGACTGCATCGTTGGTCGAGTAATGATTGCAGTTATGTAGCGAGTGGGGTACCGAGTATGGGCCCAAACAATAAATGGGGCAATAAGGCAAACTCTATTCAAAATTGTAAGTAATAGGATTTTTTAAGGGGGGAAATCTTTGAATGACTGCTCCCGCCTGGGTGAGGCGGGAGGGAGTGTCAGACTCTTACTGACTAAAAACCACCCCGTTCCTACTTCTGCACTTCGAGCCGGAGCCCCAGTAACCCGTTAGGTTTTCCGCGACTCCAAATCCGAATCAGCCCTATTGGGCCCCATCCGTGGTGGTCTGATGGCTCTTTGAGGCGCGCGCGAAACGCGAATCGCCGTACGCTTGGGTCTGGTTCCTGGTCGAGCGGCGAGCCACCCATGCTCGCCGTCCGCGCTTACGGTGGCCGGAGATCGTAAGTAATAGGATAGGAGACGTCTATGGTGAAAGAGGTTAGGAGATTCCCTTAGCAAAATGGAAAAGTGAGGTAGTAAAAAACTAACTTTCTGCTTATCCTAATAAGAAATTACGTTTTGAACAGGCGTGATTTTATTATCTGGGTGATGACACACTTATTTACCAGAACCATTCTACTTCCCCAACCATGGCAATATCACTTCACCAAAATCTACAACCTAGTCGAACAATTTACATTACACCATAAAACACACCACACACACTTACTTCATAATATATTGGAAGATGTTCTCCATTTCCGGAGGCACCTTCAAGTCCATGAAATTCTTGGGATCGTAGGCACCTTCAGCAGGTATGACCACACCACCTCTTTTACGGCCACTGCCCAACATCGGATCCACTCGCTCAGGTTCTAAGTCTCCTGTGTCTGTGTCTGTAATTAAGGACCGTTAGGGTCTAGGTTACTAGGTTATTAGGTAATGATTTAAAACAAAACGTTGCCCCACACTAGGATTTTCTCCTGTGCCGTGGGTGGTGGGTGCGTTTACAAACAAACAATTTCACATACACATAACACCCAGACCCGAAAGAACAATTGAAGGATCACACAAAAACTTTATTTATATTTTTATTTATTTATTTATTCATTTAAACTGTCAAACAACAAGCGGTCACCGGTGACCGCGACCTATTGTTCTTTAATTGTGTCTATAAAACCGGTACTCGACGAGTTAATTACCCCTATTACATGGGAACATAAATAGTGAAGAGTGTTACATTGTACAATGACAATGTACACCTCTGCCTACCTCTTCGGGAATAAAAGGCGTGATGTGATGTTATGTTATGTCATTTGAATCAACATATCCTAACAGGTTCCACGAAATACAATAATTTTATTTCTCAACATTATCTCTAGCGTTGCTCCGTGCGGGAATCGAAACCGCTGCACATTGCGCCGCAACCGGTTGTCCATGCCCAGCCACCACGCCAACCGTGCAGTCTACTAAAGTACCTACTAGATTCAAATCTGACCAAGGAAGGACCGTATTCGATGACCTGATGTTTGAAAGTTTCCTACAAGATCCACAACGTACTTGTAAGATATTCCTTTCGTGTTATAAGCGTACTTTCGTTATGGTGCCCGTTTACAATCAAGCGTGGCATGAGCTTCGTGACTGCCAATTACCAATATGTTAAGTTGATACTAGAAAAAAGCGGGAAAAATACACATAACAGTCTATTCTTCTGTGGAATGCGCTCCCTCCCGATATCAGGATGGTGAACAGTTGTTTGTCATTCAAGCGGAAGGTGCGGGAGCTACTTTTGAAGAGATTGGCAGAGTCGTAACTATCAATATACCTACTATGTATAGTTATGTTACGTCTAAGTAGTATATGTAATATAATTGTGTATGTTTATTGTTATGTCATATACATCATACATAATGTAAGTTTATATAGGGATTTATTTTATGTAAGTCTGAGGTACTATCTAGTATACTTTTTTATGCATTTCTGTAGTGTCTTAAATACGCTTGCTTCTTGCATCGACCATTGTTTTTGTCTCTGGATCACCCAAAGGTCTGGCTGGAGGAGAATGCCCTAGGCATTAAGCCCACCTTGTACATTAGTATGTGCATGAAGTCTTTTAAAATGAAAAAAAAAATAACCTACAAAGATTGTCTCCCTTTAGTTCTCGTTCCACATGTTAAGTAAATAGTAAAGGGCTTCACAGAATTAACTAATTAGAGCGAGACTTGTATTGTTAGATTCGTCTCAGTTACTATATTTCTGTTGGTAGTACCAAACCAAACCACAATAAATGTCATACAGCCTTGTTAGGTAGGTACCTAACAAGGCTGTATAAATAAATCGTAAAATCGATTTCCAGGAAAATCTTTCCAGGAATGAATTGTAAACAAGAGTATTGTACTTTCTAATTGAGTACCCGGTTATATTACACGTTATTATTCTATTGAATTTGTCTGCAAAAACTAAAATCTAAACGATCACTTTATAACTAACTCTAACTAATTTCTTCGAACAAAATATTTACATACACGCAGAAATTAAGATGCTTTTCAGACTAAAAATAAATAAATGTAGCATTTAACGATAACATTATAAAAATATCGAAAGACATCAAACCCGCATTAACCCGCGCTTACGGTCAACGACCTCAGTCCTGTCAAAGAAAATACCTAAATTGCAACCAAGTAGGTTAATATGGCCGCCTTCTTTACACAGATTCTAGGACATTATCATGAACAAACGCAGCGTATCGCATGATATCTAATGCTGATGTAAACAAAGCGCGCCGGTTAAAAATATCTTGAACGCAATAACGCATATTGTTTGTTATAGAAAATGGAGAATATAGGCATTACAGCTTCGATAAACGATAATATTAACTATTAAGCACTGGCCGAATGTAGGAAGTAATGATTTTGGCTTTCAGTACTTTGCGGAATAATAATCTATCAATGCAATAACAGAAACTTCAATAAACATTAATAAACTTCAGTAGATACGTACTCTGGTCAGAAATACAGAAAATATTGTCGGACAATTTCTGAAATTGTAATATTTATATTTTACAAATAGAACAAATTATAGCACAATGTTGATAGAAAGCAAGGAAAAAAACGAAGACTTGTATGCTTCAGTGATGTTTCCAGATGGAGAACTATGCTATGATATTTTTTGTTATATCTTCGACAATGTACAAGATCTAATTAGCAGTTACATTTTTACTTTTACATCAATCTATCTTACTGGGTATTAGTTTAAAACCCATTTTGGTTCTAATCACTGCCTAATATAAAATGAAATTTCGTCGTGTCGGCCTGTCTGTTTGAACGCGATAAACTGCGAACTACAGAGCTAATTTTCATACAACTTCCACTAATGGGCAGAATGAATCATGATGAAAGTTTTATGTGAAATGGAGAACCCAAGCGAAGCCCTGTCGCTCGTAAAAGATAAAAGAATTATGTCCAAATTTTCAAACGACGACAATGTTATTAAAACTATTTTTGTCACCACGATACGGTTGAATGACAGCGGTAGAGGGAACCAAAATTAGTTGCGGTATGGGGTATCCTTAATTTTGAAACATTCAACGACTTCTTTACGAAAGAAAAAGCGCCAAAACTTATTGCGTTCGGAAACTATTAGAAATAAGGAAGTTGTTGGGAAAGTTCTATGTTCAACAGTGAAAGTCTGGACAGTGGTTGATACGATGATAACGATGGTTACACAGTTTTGGCACAATAATTCACATTATTGGTTAATGGCATTAGGATTATGCGGTCAATGTACGAATTAGCATTATCTAACTAACCTGAATTAGACGAATCTTCACGTTTAGCGACAGGCCTGGATCTGCCGCTAGTCTCCTTCATAAGGTCAGCCCTGCTCACTTTGGGGGCTTCCATTGATTTTTCTGAAGGCTGCGACTTTCTATCCGGTGACTGAGACATGCATGAAATAATTACAATGTCAGATATTGTGATGTTCTTTTACTTTTTGTTCTTTAAGGTATTTATCGATTTCTATTGCAAAATATAACACGTAATTCCGAGTATAATAAACATCCCTTGAAACCTAGTTTTAGTTTCATCTGTAAACTAATAATTACGAAGTTATTGAGAGTAAAATCAACACTGTTTATCCCATGGATAATGATCATGATCGTGCATTTGCTCGCACGACCACAGCTATCGCTGGATAATACAAACAGCTAATAGATTCTACGCGTGTCTCAACAGTCTAAAACGATCATGCTCCGCTATTGTATCCTAAAATATGCATGTAGGAAGAGCTTCCCCTAGCTAATGAAATCTCCTCGCTTTACGACAGTTATAAACCATTTTTAACCATACCCGGAATAAATAATGTTTGATCATTGAACCCGGTCCAAAATTGTCTATGTTTACAACGGGAATAAACAACGGGAAAGCCAACAGGTGGCGCCATGCGAACTATGGCGGGAGGGAAATTAAATCTATGCAATATGGCCGCTACAATAGCCTATCTAAATTCCTTGGATGCCGTAGCGCAAATAAATGCATTTAATGTTTGTCTACTGCTGTCTACCGCTAAAATAACTCCCTAGCGGTGAAATTAAACTATATGGACAGTAATTGGAGCGTGTAATGTCTTATATCTTTCGCTTTAGTATGTATTGTTGGATTATCACGAATCTTTAACTTGACGAGCGTTAATTATAATTGTTGGCAAGCGTATTGAGGTATTTGTTACATACTGTCCGTTTCTTGTTTTCTTTATTGATTAGAAAGGGCGAAAACGTTTTACAATTGTAATTTTAATGAAAATTGGGTTTAACGTCTATTATGCAGCAATTAGTTTTAGAAAGGGACTATTTATTCAATTACGTAGTTACATAAGACAAAAATGTACTAACCTGATCTTCGCCGGACATATTTTCCAGAAACTTGTCGCCCTCGGACTCGGTTTCACTGTCGGAATCGAAGTCATGCCTGGCGGTGTGCCTTACTGGCGGATTAAATTTGGACATCGTTGCCTTTACCACTTCCTCGTCACTCGACGGGCTGTCGATCTCTCTAGCGTTAACCACGTTAACCGTCTCGTCATACATCACTCGTGCATAATCGTTAGCCGACCCGTTTTGATCGCTACTCAATGAGAATGTTTGGCAGTGTTTGTCGCACGTTGCCATGGCAACGATAAAGAACCTCCTCGTTCGGAATCCCAACGAGGAAAGGCGGGAGTCTCATAGATGGCAATTTTTTGTCCAAATAGTCGGTGGCACGGCCTGGCACTGATTAGGACGACATAAAGTACATATTTCACACATTTATCAAACGTATGCACGGAGCCGTCAGTTGAATAATTCCACGATGTTTTGCCCGCTGCTGCGCTCGCGTGCAATGTAATGGTAATTTTATTCTCCTGTAGTCCCGAGCTGACATGGTGTAATGATACATACCGGAGCATAATGTATAGCTTACTTGCCTATGGATATATGTATTGGAAATCTATTTAGTCGTGGACGCGTAAATTAACTTAGCCAGTCGTAAGGAAAACTTTCAATTTAGAACAACGGTTTCGAGGAATCATTAGCGCTTAAGGGATATACGGATTAGGTTTAATTTAAACTAATTCCCTTCACAAATACCTTTGTTTAGTCTCTGATTTCAAGGGCGTTAAGAAAGTGTCCCGTGTAATGTAACTTCACACCATTTCCGCAATCCACAGCGCAACAAAAAACGACCATTTCAAACCGAATCTGTGAATGTGCACTTCACATGCGTTAGCAGCACATGTCTGTCACCCAGCACATTTCTAGAGTAATAACATAACATGGGTTGTTGTCAGAAGCTAAATGAATAAGCAGAAATGTAGTCTCTGTTAGTAATATTGTTTGCCCCAAAATAAATTAATGTATTTTATGAAAATAACTAGGAGGAACACAGACAAACAACCAATGTCAGAATCAGGATTTAGAAACATTTATAAGTGGTTACTTTCGCCAGATGAGTTTTGAACCCTAAACATTTGACTTATTTGCAATTACTAGGCAAACCTACACTGATAACTCCAGTAATCTTTTTTTATTACTGCTGCTGAATCTTTCATTGCAGATAATAAAAGAATATCAATTTGAAACTGAATCAATCATTGAATTTTGATGCAAACGAAAATAGCAACAAGCGCAATGTGATTAGAACTCAGATTTCAAGACGGCTGTTCATAAAATAAACTATTGGAATAATAAAATGCGTTGTCTACAAAAAAAGTCTCGTAAAGTTGGTTCGAAATAGATGTGCTCGGAGCATGCCGTAGACAAATTATAATAGTGCAGTATTTTATAGAAAGTTTATGTTCAAGAATTCTATCGACATGTCCCGGGCGATGCTTGCCAATAAATCGAGTTACTTTTCCATTAACATAACTAATTGCGAAAGTAGATACGTGTTACCTGTTGCTATTATTATACATGCTCTCATTTTAAGGAAAAATACTGAAATAACATTGAAAATATTAGCTAAAATTGCATCGCGTTTATATGAAACCTTTCCTCCATTTACCAGCGATGTAAATCACTCCTACGCCATTCAAATGGCTTGACAATTTGACATGGTAATCAAAACTAACAAATTGACTTTAACAGACCGACAGGAGAATCGACGGAACGGATATAAAACTTCCGTGATTTCGTACTGAAACAATCGACACTGGCAGTATAGTCGACAACACGGTATTGGAGACGTTCGTCAAAAAGAAAAAAAATTAATCCCAAGAGCATGCAACTGTGACTTTGAAAGTTCCGATTATATTCAGAAACGAACAAATTGAGAATAGTTGTCCTTGTCCTATTTCGACCCACTAGTCGCGTTATGGCTGCCTCGTTGGCCGAGTGGTCGCAAGTGCGACTGCAGGGCAAGGGGTCTCGGGTCGGGCAAAGTATTAATAGGGTTTTAAAAAAATCTCAGTAGTAGCACGGAATTGTGCCCGGTATATGGCAATAGGCTCACCCCCTATTACACGGGACTCATAACATAAATAGTGAAAAGTGGGTGTTATTGTACAATGGCATAATGTGCACCTCTGCCTACCTCTTCGGGGATAAAAGGCGTGATATTATGTTGTTATGTTGGTCGCGTTATGGCACTATATAACGGTTGAAATAGTCAGTAGTAGTAACTCTCTAGTCTGATAGATAAATAAAACAAAAAGATATGAAAAATGACAACTTTATTTGCTAAAATAATAACTAAATTCTATAATATACAAAAATAACTGACAAACAACCCGTTATATGGAAAGTCGAGCTATTGTAATTTCACATTCAATAATTTATTGTCATGTCGAAAATTATTATCTAATTGCATATGTGATTATTATTAGAGATCGGTAATTGTGGAACAAAATGAGATGCAATGTCAAAATTATTAATTGAGGAATCGAGGTTGGTCAGATAAAAACTGCTTAGATTAAATTAATGCGAAATTTGCACGATGTTACAACGCGAGGCTAATGAGGAGTAACATTACCATTACACATTTTGCATGAGTTAGTATAAAACAGTCAGGTATTACAAACAGGATACACATCATTATAATTATCTAAATACCAAATATATCATAGTTCTTCATGAATACATATCTACAAAAATATCATTTCGCGTACTTTTATATTTTCCCAAAAATATTGTTGAAAATGTTTACATACAAAATAAATATCTGGGAATTTTAATACAACAGTTATACATGCAAAAAATATACATTTTTATTATATCAAGATCTGTGTCTGAATTATAATCCGCAGCGCACACTTAAATTATGGCCAGCATAATGTAATAGTGCTGTGGTCTGATGTACTTGTTGAAAACATGGTCTCGTTAACATTACATATAAGTATACACTGTAACATGATTATAGAAATCGAATTTTATCACATTTTGCAGTCTTTGAGTACATATTAAACAACAGGAATAAAATGTTACACTAAAATGATTTGGCACAATAACGTAGAGACTAGTTAAAACTTAATGCTACTTATCTCAAGATAAGCACAAAAGCAAGTCTCGGAGTATCCGCCTAGATCACAGACACAACAAATATAGAAAAGCCTAAAATAAATTCAGCCAACCTTATTGATGAGTTCATCGCATATGGCTGTCAGCTCCTCGTTCGCCTTCGTCTTTTGCGCAAGGGACTCTTCAAGTGACGTGATGTGGAGTTCTTTCCTCTTAATCATGGCATTAAGCTTCAATACCTCCGCCTCGTGTGCCTTGTTCATCTTCTCTAACTCCTGATTCGCGTGGTTGAGCTTTGACGTCGCGTGTTGTTTCAAAAGCTCATAATTGTTTTGCATTTTTGTTAGGTTTTCTTCAAATGCTTTTATAGATTTTTTATACGTATCTTCGTTTGCCTTACAGTTAAGAATTACTTGTTTACTCTTTTCGTATTTACTGTGAAGGTCGCTAAATGAAACCTCCATACTGGCTAAGTGGGCCGTCTGTTCATCTCTCTCATTTATCAGCTTTATTCTCTCTTCCGCATGCCTCTTCTTGTCTTGTGCTGTTTCTGAAATCAGACTAGCTATCGTCCTCTCATATTCCTCGACTACAGCCGCCATGCCTTTATTGATCTTCGTCTTCTCAGCAAGCCGAGCATTCAAGTCGTTGATCTTCTTCAATCTATCCTGACTTTCTTCTTCTAAGCTCTTCAAATGAGATTCCAATGAAGATAATCTATCTTTGAGTTCTTTACTTTCAGACCTTAGACTGTAAACGTGTATTTCTTTCTCGGCAAGAAGCTCACGTAACTGTGTTAGAGCTAAATCGGCTTCATTTTGTTCCCTAGTGTGTTGTGTAACACTGGTATCGTGCATAAGGGAAGTATTGCCACTCAAAGACAATAGTCTGTCAATAACAGCCATGGCAGGAGACGTGAATGTAATCGAACGCCTATTCGATCTGTTGGGAGTCAGTGACTTGTTTCTAGGTGTAACTGGGTTCACAGCAGGGGGAACAACCATCATCGGCTTAGACACAGTGACGTTCAGATCATCATTGAATTCCTCACTCACATCCATGTCTTGAGTAATGTTTAAGTTGGAAGGTCCAGGGATAGGTGACCTCTCTTCTTTCACTGGCATTGCTGCCTTTGTAGGAGTACTTTGTCTTTTCTGAATCTTATTCAAAGAAGCTACCAAACCATCTGATGTGATAGATGACATTCTCTTTGCAAAAAGTGGATCAAATTTAAGGAACAAACTCTCTTTACCACTGTCAACAACTGTATTACTTTTATTCTGATTCAAAAGAAACTCAAAAGCCTCTGCATCTATAAACAATTCACCATTATCAACATTCTCATCATTTCCTTGAGTTGGTAATTCATTGAAATGCATCATGTCAATATTTTCACCATCAAAGTCCGACATTTTATCATCAGTATTCAAATCATCAGCTTCAGCCTCTAGGAACGGTCCCTCGACAGTGTCATCATCATCAGTATTTACTTCCCTGACTGTACCATTTTTGTCGTCAGTAGCTTTAGAAGAAACAGTTACATTACTCAAGTTTCCTGAAGCATCTTTTTCCATTAACTCAATGTCTATTTTGTCGGTAGGGAATTCGGTAATTACATTGTCTTCTTCTTTTACTATTTCATTATCTAGTAATATCATGGAAGACTCAGGAGTATTCTTAATTTTGCTTTTAGTAGCAAAAGGATTTTCTACATTTACATCAAAACTCAGAGGTGGGGATTGTCGCATTTTAGATTTAGTTGCAAACGGATTAAAGTTCATATCATCAATCTCTGGTATGTTGAAGACATTTCTTGAAGGGAAGCTTTCACTTGACGATGTGCCCGCAGAGAAATATGTAGACAGTTCTGATGACGAAGTAATTTTTAAGTCATCAGTCTGCACAGAGGATGATGTTTCAGCGACAACGTTAATTTCTTGTTCTTGGTTAAGTACTTCTTCTGTAACATTCAATGGGTTTTCATGAATTGTTCTAATCTCTTCAGTTATTTTGTCTTCTTCAATCATGACATTATTCGGTTCCAAACCTACATCAGATGGTGATTCCAGTTTAAAATCACCATCACCTGAAGTTTCAATTTTCTCTGCTGTGTTATCATTAACAGCACCACTGAAAGTAGAATTAAACTTTTTCTTAGGAGTAGCAGGTCTTTTTCT